ATGGAGGAAGGCTGCTGGATGGAGGAAGGCTGCTGGATGGAGGAAGGCTGCTGGATGGAGGAAGGCTGCTGGATGGAGGAAGGCTGCTGGATGGAGGAAGGCTGCTGTTCCTGAGCTTCTCACCTGCTCTTTATATACCTGCTGGAAGGAGGTTGTGGAGGGAAAGCTCCACCTCCTAGGAGACCGTTTCTCTGGAAACAACCGATTTATCCTCTGGCTCATACTAACCTGTTCCTCGGAATCTGTTATCTATTTTCTACAGAAATCTGACTCCAGACAGTTTCTTGGACTTATTCCAGGTAGAAACTCTGAGGGCGATAAAAGAGGGTGGGATGTTTCTATAGAATATTTAGTCAGAAATGTCGCCGTTAGAGAACCACACCTCAGAATCAGAGAAAAACACAGAGCAGAGCAGAAATCTGGTTTATTCTCCCACATATTGATGATCTGTGTTATTTTACGTAGAAAACTAGCTAGTTATAGTTACTAGTTACTTCACTTTTAAGGAGATGGAACTAGTTATAAAAAAGACCCCCCCTCCCAAAAAAAAAGCAAATGAGATCTTTTAGACCAAATTTGATGCATTTTTGAATGTTAACATGTTTTAAATGGGTAAAAGGTAAAATGTAACAATAAATATACTTTGCAATAGAGTCTCACTATGCCAGCAAGGAAAACAGCTAATGAATTTAGTATAACACTAAAGAAGCAACATGTGCTGATAAACTAAAGGAGCAGTGGGACGTTAATCATTGTTGAAGATGTGAGGAGCTTCCTTAGATCAGAGGTGCTTCTAACCAAAGGGATGAAGTCGGTGTTCCTGAATATAATGAGCAATTTAAAGGAAGATTTAGTCTTTGACTTCCAGCTTAGGAACCCTGTCACTGAGAGCAGACTTATGAAAAGTAGCTTTCACTGATCCAGGTGTGATAACACCCTAAGTTAGACTGCAGGTGATCCAATAGCATTAGCAATAAGTGATAAAGCACTAACACCACTATCATAAACCTTGGGCAGCTCTAGATTACATTATTTATCTGAACTGTTTTAATTCAACTGTAATTTTAAAATGAAGGGATCGCACCCTTAGTGTGGTGGAGAAATTATTTCCATGTGATTTAGGTTTGATCAAACATGCAGGAGAAATAGTTTCCTGAAAAGAAGGCCATGAAGTAGACTGGTTGCTCCACAGCCAGCAGTGAGAAGATTTAGGATTGTTCTAGTTCAAAGTTCCAGTTTTGCTAATTAGTTCTGTGGGACAAGAAGGGATAAATAGTTAAATTGATCCCTTGGAGTCAGGTCATTTTGACCATTGATAGTGGAAAAGAAGGATATCTGGGATAATGGGATGTTTTATGAAAGCTCATTGGCTGAGAGCCCTTCTGAAAGCACACCTGGTTGCATATGATTTTAAAATGGATGAAACCATTCTACATTTACAATGTTTGGTAGATTGGAGCTGTTCAGACTACAGTGATGTCATGTTTAAAATGAAACTCTCCCACATTGCCTCAGAGAGAAGGAAGAACTGGTATTAAAATGTTTCATTTTCTGAGATAAAGATTTCCTCTCATAATAATTTCAGTGGTATTGAAGTATGAGCATAGCTTTTCTTTCCTATGTATGGGATCTTCAGAGACACAAGTGGCTCTTTTGTTCTGTGGTCACTCTCCCTTCGAAGTTGCCTTTGGTTCCGTCGGATGAACTCCGTGTCCCTGTCAACTCCGTCCAGCAATACATCACCCGCTGCCATCAAACCTAGATATCCACTGTCACCGCTCTTCACCACAGCGCTGAGCAGNACTCGCGTTCTCGTGAATTGAGAAACGCCATCAGTTAATCCAAACAGGAAGTGAACACGATACGTCTCACTGACAGCAGCAGCACCCTCTAGTGGCAGGAGTCACCAGACAAAAAGGAGGGAATGGTCTGATCTCTTAACCTTCAGATTATTCAGTTCAAACATTTTCCAGCCGTTCCTCAATAAAGACTCGTCTGCAGCTGATGCTCTTTGACTTCAGCTGGGATTAAATATTCATTGCTTAATGGTCTTAATCCTTGTGATGAGACCAAGTCTAGAACGTTCTGGAAATTGGTGTAACTGGCCTGAGAATCCCTGTGGGAGAGAATCCAACCCACTGTGAGATTCAGAGGGATAGAAACCTCGTTGCTCCAGAGCTCATGTCTCTGTTCTACCTTTATTGGCCTTATGATGAAAGAAAAGACCGCAGACAGGATCAGATGCTCGTCTTTATTAAAACAGGAAATCAGAGTCAGAAAGGAGAGAATTAATGACATAATTTCATGGAGGGTGTGATCATATGTGTATATTTCTAGAGAGTAAACGTAATTTAATTTCCCTTGTATGTCTTGTACATATGAAGAAAGTGACAATAAAAGCTGACTTGACTTGATCAGAATAACATCAGTGATCCTTTCTTCTCACTGAGCTCAGAAACAACGATGACTCTCTAATTAAAACACAGGAACTCTGGGGCGCCTTTATTTCCATCATTGAGATTCTTGTCGATGACTTCGGCGCCGGCGTTCATAAACGGCGTCTTTGCGGTTTGGTCGAGGAGCAGGGTGACCGTC